AGAGAACACCTTGGGGGGTACGTCTGGGCAGGACCCGTGCCTGAGATAACACCACCTTAATTAATTAATTAACAGTAAGTTAAACCCACCCGGAGAACGGTGGGGTTAATGGTGGGTTTAACTCCATAACACTGCCTTAATTAATTAATTAACAATGGGTTAAACCCACCGGGAGGACGGTGGGGTTTAATGGTGGGGTTAACGGTGGGTTTAACTCCATAACACCACCTTAATTAATTAATTAACGCCAAGTTAAACCCACCAGGAGGACGGTGAGGTTTAATGGTGGGTTTAATAGTGGGTTTAACTCCATAGCACCACCTTAATTAATTAATTAACAATGAGTTAAACCCACCAGGAGGACGGTGGGGTTAACGGTGGGTTTAAAACTCCATAACACCACTTTAATTAATTAATTAATTAATTATCAATGAGTTAAACCCACCATTAAACCCACTGTTAAACCCACCGTCCTCCAGGTGGGGTTAACTCAGCGTTAATTAATTAATTAAGGTGGTGTTACGGAGTAAAACCCACCTGGAGGACGGTGGGTTTAACTCCATAACACCACCTTAATTAATTAATTAATTATCAATGAGTTAACCCCACCATTAAACCCACTGTTAAACCCACCGTCCTCCAGGTGGGGTTAACTCAGCGTTAATTAATTAATTAAGGTCCTCCCGGTGGGTTTAACTCGGTGTTAATTAATTAATTAATTAACAATGAGTTAAACCCACCTGGAGGACAGTGGGTTTAACTCCATAACACATAATTAACTCGGCATTAATTAATTAATTAAGGTCATGTTATGGAGTTAAACCCACCGTCCTCCAGGTGGGTTTTACTCCGTAACACCACCTTAATTAATTAATTAATTAAGGGGGCGTTATAGAGTTAAACCCACCGGGAGGACGGTGGGTTTAACGGTGGGTTTAACTCCGTAACACCACCTTAATTAATTAATTAATTAAGGGGGCGTTATAGAGTTAAACCCACCGGGAGGACGGTGGGTTTAACGGTGGGTTTAACTCATTGTTTAACTCATTGTTAATTAATTAATTAAGGTGGTGTTACGGAGTTAAACCCACCGGGAGGACGGTGGGTTTAATGGTGAGTTTAACAGTGGGTTTAACGGTGGGTTTAACTCCGTAACACCACCTTAATTAATTAATTAACAATGAGTTAAACCCACCCTCTCAGCTTCACGGCATGGGTTTAATGGTGGGGTTAACTCCATAACACCACCTTAATTAATTAATTAACAATGAGTTAACCCCACCATTAACCCCACCGTTAACCCCACCATCCTCCTGGTGGGTTTAACTTGGCGTTAATTAATTAATTAATTAATTAAGGTGGTGTTATGGAGTTAAACCCACCTTTAAACCCACCGTTATAGAGTTAAACCCACCGGGAGGACCTTAATTAATTAATTAACAATGGGTTTAATGGTGGGTTTAACTCCATTGTGTCATCCCCCCCCCCCCAAAAAAATATTCCCAACAACCTCAGGGTGGTTTTGGTCGAGGGTTTAACGGTGGGTTTAACTCATTGTTAATTAATTAATTAACCTCAGGGTGGTTTTGGTTGAGGGTTTAACGGTGGGTTTAACTCATTGTTAATTAATTAATTAACCTCAGGGTGGTTTTGGTTGAGGGTTTAACGGTGGGTTTAACTCATTGTTAATTAATTAATTAAGGCGGTGTTACGGAGTTAAACCCACCGGGAGGACGGTGGGTTTAACGGTGAGTTTAACTCGTTGTTAATTAATTAATTAAGGTGGTGTTACGGAGTTAAACCCACCGGGAGGACGGTGGGTTTAATGGTGAGTTTAACAGTGGGTTTAACGGTGGGTTTAACTCCGTAACACCATCTTAATTAATTAATTAACAATGAGATAAACCCACCAGGAGGACCCACCGTTAACCCCACCGTCCTCCCGGTGGGTTTAACTCCATAACACCACCTTAATTAATTAATTAATTAACATTGAGTTAAACCCACCCTCTCAGCTTCACAGCACAGGTTTAACGGTGGGGTTAACTCCGTAACACCACCTTAATTAATTAATCAACAATGAGTTAAACTCACCATTAAACCCACTGTTAAACACACCGTCCTCCCGGTGGGTTTAACCCATTGTTAATTAATTAATTAAGGCGGTGTTATGGAGTTAAACCCACCGAGAGGACGGTGGGTTAACAGTGGGTTAATTAACAATGAGTTAAACCCACCCGTCCTCTCAGTGGGTTTAACTCATTGTTAATTAATTAATTTAGGAGCTATTATAGAGTTAAACCCACCGTTAACCCCACCATCCTCCCGGTGGGTTTAACTCATTGTTAATTAATTAATTAAGGTGGTGTCATGGACCTCAGGGTGGTTTTGGTTGAGGGTTTAACGGTGGGTTTAACTCCATGACACCACCTTAATTAATTAATTAATTAGCAATGAGTTAAACCCACCGGGAGGGTGGGTCCCAACGACCTCAGGGTGGTTTTGGTCGAGGGTTTAACGGTGGGTTTAACTCATTGTTAATTAATTAATTAACCTCAGGGTGGGTTTGGTTGAGGGTTTAACGGTGGGTTTAACTCCATGACACCACCTTAATTAATTAACAATGAGTTAAACTCACCATTAACCCCACCGTCCTCCCGGTGGGTTTTACTCCATAAAACCACCTTAATTAATTAATTAATTAGCAATGAGTTAAACCCACCGGGAGGGTGGGTCCCAACGACCTCAGGGTGGTTTTGGTCGAGGGTCCAGGGAGAGAAAATATTCCCAAGGTGTTCGGATTGGATTAAAAAAAAAAAAGAAGAATAAACCAAGAGGGATGAAATTAATTAATTAAGAGCCTTCGTTACCTTCTCGGCACATTTTTTAATGACGGTGGCCAGTTCGGAGACCACCAGGTCGACACATTTCAAACTGGGCTCTTTGAGCTTTACAATCTGTTTTTTCACGATGGCTTCAAAAGCCAAATCGGGGGTGAAAAGCCCCGTCCTGCCCCGGGGGAAGGAGAGAGAAGGGCGGGGGG